ACTAAACGCACACGCATTGATTCATTGAACAAACGAAGCGATATCAAACACCAGTCGCCACGCATCTTCAGCATCTTCTCCGACTCCTCGCGGTTGTCGCTCACTGTATCCAGACATCTGTGTGGGGCGCCAGTGGTGCCCCTGGTTTGCTTGAATACTCAACAGTCTTGCCATTTACTTTCTGAAAGATAGTGTCGTTGATCGTCGACGCCTGGTTCGGCAGAACGCTTGCGCTGGTGTGTGCTGGTATTTGCTGCTATCAATTATGTCAATCTGATACAGCTCAGCACTAACCTCAGAAGCAATAAACTGTCAGCGACAAGCAAAACTTATTGGTGGTATTCAGGCAGCTAGTAGCTGGACGGAAGTATCACGATGTTATGGCAGAATCAAGGAGCGTGTCAAAGGATAATCGATAGACAAACAACGGAACGCCAATACAAGCGTGTCGTGGAACCGTCAGTGATATCAACGGGAGACAATCAGATGGACGATAGACAGGACGGCAGGCAAGAAGCAAAAAAGCAATCAAAAGAAAATGTTACTCAAGGTCAGCCGATGTCGCAGACAAACTACGAAGTGCACATTTGGGAAAGTGCTGATGCCAACTGATTTTATCACAGTAACATGATCAATGGAGAAGCAGGGTATCGATCCCTGTACCTCTCGCATGCTAAGCGAGCGCTCTACCATTTGAGCTACATCCCCAGGACAGCACCACAAGCGCTTTACCTAAATACAATCCTTGTACTCAACACCACACCAAACACAAGCTACACACAAAAACACATCAACACGCCAAAGCGCAATAAACGCACACGCATTGATTCATTGACCAAACGAAGCGATATCAAACACCAGTCACCACGCATCTTCAGCATCTTCTCGGACTCCTCGCGGTTGTCGCTCACTGTATCCAGACATCTGTGTGGGGCGCCAGTGGTGCCCCTGGTTTGCTTGAATACTCAACAGTCTTGCCATTTACTTTCTGAAAGATAGTGTCGTTGATCGTCGACGCCTGGTTCGGCAGAACGCTTGCGCTGGTGTGTGCTGGTATTCGCTGCTATCAATGATGTCAGTCTGATACAGCTCAGCACTAACCCCAGAAGCAATAAACTGTCAGCGACAAGCAAACCTTATTGGTGGTATTCAGGCAGCTAGTAGCTGGACGGAAGTATCACGATGTTATGGCAGAATCAAGGAGCGTGTCAAAGGATTAATCGATAGACAAACAACGGAACGCCAATACAAGCGTGTCGTGGAACCGTCAGTGATATCAACGGGAGACAATCAGATGGACGATAGACAGGACGGCAGGCAAGAAGCAAAAAAGCAATCAAAAGAAAGTGAGGAAATAGCTTATTGTTCGATAATGTTATTGACAATGCTGTTTTCGGAGGCCCTGCGGGATAAGGTGTACAATCCCTCAATTACCAATGCTAGCGTGGCCTCACGTTCTGTGCGGCCCAGTGCGTTGGACTGCGCCAGCCACTACATGTACAGGCACCCGATTCTGGATAATAGCACTTGAAAAGTAATAAGTGTAGTGAGTCACAGTGTCCGAGCACAAGTCTTACGGGCCTATTTTTATATATAGGGCCGTAAGACATGTGCAAGCTAGGCTATAAATTCAATGGGGTTTATCATAAACCTGTAGTATTGTCTAGAAGTTCAGCCATAGAAAAGCATTTGACGGGGGCGGGGTAACCTGCACCAGAATAATACGGGTCTCGTATTCAAGTTGCTTTTATTTTCTTCTGTCGCTACACAAACACTGAAAAATGGGACAAAGAGGGGAGTTCAAAACGAACTTCAGCTGTTGAACTACTTGTAGCTCTCTACTAGCGACAATCGTGTGGTCTTCGGGTGAGGCGTGCGTAAAATTCTACTTCTTCGTGGGTATTGTTTGGCGGTAATTGTCGTAACGCTTGACGATCATACTGACGTCATCGCCCGACTTGCCAAGCGAAGCGAAGTATTCTCGGACTTTGTCGGGGTGCATTTTCTTTCCGGCCCAAGAGGGGAGCGCAGCTGTAAACAGGAATTCATCGCTTCCGAACTGTTTGAACCACTTGTCAACGGCAGCTTTCCTTTTAGCCGCATCCTGGGCCTTCAGTGCTGCCTTTTGAGACGCCTTAAGTGCTTGTGCGTTTTTAAAGGCGCTTGTGCCCGGAACAATCTTCTTAATCGACGCGAAGTTAATTGTCCTTTCTTCTTGGTTGCCGGTTTCCACAAGGCTGTGGCACAGCAATTCAACCGCAACAATCTTGCCTGTTTCGTGGAGTACCTTCACTGCTCTTGGAGAGGTCCGAAGTGCTGCCGCGGGAGACTCGTTCCATCAGGAATGGATCCGCAAATGCCTACAGCCACCAAAACAAGAGCTGGCCAGTCGCATAGATGGGTGGAAAAAGAGTGGTGGGTGGGGCTTAGTCCCTTTCGGGGAGAATTTGCGGAATGAAGGTGAATAAAGGAAAAAAGGTGGGTCCACAAGAGACGCGAACCGCTCAAATCTACCTGCTCTCGCAAAAAACCCGTTAAAACAAGACCGAGAGCGCCGGACCCAGTTTCCTCTATAAAAATACAGTCTTAAAGGGTAAATGACGTGTAGAAAGAGAATCAGGTGACTTAGTGCCTAGTCGCGAATATTGAACGA